TTATTATTCCAAATAAAATCATCTTGTTCTATTTTATATTTAGACTCAATATCTTGTTGCAATGATGTCATCATGCTAACTACATTGTTCTCAACAACAGTAGACGACTCTAGATTCTTATGCAGACTTGATATCATTTTTTTGTTTGATTTTTTGTTAATTCCAGTATAGAAGTTAACTCCATAACTATTTGGAATGATATCTTATTAAAAGACTCTGGAAGATTTATTATCTTTAGTTCCAATGGATAAAGTTAATGGATTCCCACCATAAAAATAAAGTATAACTAAATTAAATATATTTTTTTGTCATAACTAAAGTTAAAACATAAATATTTCAAAAAAGAGTTACAATTTACATCATTATAATTGAATATGTATGTATACATAAATATTTGACAACTTTTTATTTACTTATCAAATAATTTAATATTTATTTGTAAACCTCTTGCAAGGAGAGAAAAGCAGCAATTGCATATATTTTCCTTTAGCGATTCTACAGCTAGTGTTATACCACAAGATGGTTGAACAATATCACTAAGTTCAGCACTGCCTTTAATTCTTGGTCTGTCAACCTAATTCAGAAACATATACTTTATGAAAAATAAATTTTATTTATGTATTAATCATTTAAATTTAATAAACTCTGTACTTAATATACTTTACTCATCCAGTTTGACAGATAAGTACTTAATGCTTTCTCCAGCAAAAATATGTTTCTTCTACAATTTGAACATATTATGTCAGGGCAAACAATGAAATTTTCATTTTACTCAGGCCAAATATACTCTTTGATTTTATTTGCTATAGATTGTTATACTTTTGATAACAATTTTGAATATTCGCTCTTTTTTTTCCAAACAAACTGCACAAACAGACTGCTTCAAATCCGCCATTTTTACCGCTCTGTGGGTTTTTCTCCAACTATTTTTCTTATCAGTTGAAAATTATTTTTAAAAAAGAAGCCGGAAATGATGAATTACATCGTTTTAATTGCTAAATTTTTAGTCCTTTTTACTTTTTTTAAACTTAAATTACTAACTCTTCTGATCGAGTTCAGATTTGGTTTGCATTTGAAAAACACTAATAAAAACTGCTTAAAAAAAACTTAAAGGTTACTTAAAAAAAAAAAAACCTGAGGAGGTGAGATTTCGAACCTGACGGTCTTTATGGCTCACTGTGAAAGTTTGGTTTCGTCTGCATGACTTAGCAGCAAAAGTGGACAAAAATAGACTTTTTTAGTCCAAAATGGCAACAGTTCTGATCACTATTCTACTTTGCAGCCATATGGACTACACAACATTATTGTTTGATAAAAACTATTATATAATAGCCTCCTTTACATGTCATTGTAAAGGTATGAAGAGTAAATAACAAAGTTATTCATAAAAAACTCTCACTTCGTTAGTCCACTTGTAATGCACATTATTCATTTTATTTAAAGTCCAAATAATAAATAACATAAGCATTTGAAAAGCAATAATTAAACAATTTAAATATAAAAAGTTTGAGATCATTAAACTTTCAAACCATGTAATAGTTTTTGTTTTAATTATAAAATTGATCAAATAGCAAGTATAAAATTATCATAAAAATACAAAGAAGGCAGGACAAACAACTATTTCATTTAATAAGAAATCAGTATCCAAATAACCAGCTAGTAAAAAAGTAAACTTAACAAAATAAAATTTTAATTAAAAACACTTAATAGAAAGTAACATCATTTTCGTTAAAAACTGTTGTATGGAGAAATGAAAAGGTTTATTGAGAACTAAAAGAAAAATATAATAATTTTACTAAAATAATATTCTTTAATATTGATTTTTTTTTTAATTTAGCATTTGTTGTGGATAATTAGGGTTTATTACAAAACAACCATTATAATATTGCCCAAACACAAAAAGTGTAATGCATAAAGTGTTATGAATACAAAAATTAGGCGAAAACTAAAAAAAATAAATTTGATGGTTTCGAAAATATAAAGCATCTACACTATAGCCTTTACCCATTGAATATGAGATCTGATCTACAGTTTCCAATAAATTGATAATACATGATTTATTTGAAACAAGTCCGCACTGATTTAGGGATAAAAGACTATTAGCAAATAAATACTTGGTTAACCACTCTTTTACAATACGCTCTAGGAGTTAGCAGCAGACAGATGTTAAAGAAATGGGTTTGTAGTTTGATACATCAAGTTTAGATCTTTTTTGTAAAGAGGTGTAATCTTAGCCACACAGCTGGGACTAGACTTTCAAAAATAGATTTTATAAATATATAAGTGATAGGCACATTTAGAGATGAAGAGCATTTGTTGAGAACATGTGGGTGAATGCTGTCTACACCTGCTGGTTTATGCAAGTTGAGTTTTGATAGGAGTGATTGAATGTAGTTCTTAATAAGTTTATTCAAGACTTATGTCTCATCAAATCCAGAAAATGTGCGTTTCTTGAATGCTGGCAAAAATTGACTTAAACTTAAAGGAGTAAAAACATATA